CTTATTTGGTGCATTCAGGACATAATATAGAAATGTAAAATTGTGTATGGGTCATTTTTCAAATGTACTTACTATGGGCAAAGCAGCGACCTGGTAGGCAGCTCGAGCAGGAAAATGACTCTTGAAATCTGAATTTAAAAAAATTTTGTTTTAGTTTCAAGATACTCTGTTGTACTGTTACTGTACAATCAAGAGACCAGTGAGTTGCATTTTCAAATATCACGTTGTTTCTCTAGTGTGAGAAATCGAAAGTGTAAATAAGGATCAACAAGCATAACTGATGTTGGGATGTGGGAAGAAAATGTTCAAATGAGAAGGGGAACAGGGGAGGTGGAGGGGAAAGGAAAGATGAAAAAGGAGAAGAGCGAAGAGTGCCACCACTCCAGCGCCACCACCGTCTGCCAGGGCTCCTCAGTTTCGCCGCCAGGACCAGTGGCCCTGCTCCTGCCTCAGGCCAAGCTAGCGCCCAGACCAGAGAGGTCCCCGCTGCTGAGTCTCTCATTTCCACGCTGTACTGGCTCCTTCCTTCCTGCACAAACATGCTGAAGTAGCCTCCATCATAACTAAACTAAGCCAGAACAAAATCCTCCATGACAGTCTATCCCTGGAGTCCACCTCTCCCTCTGACTGCCGGCCCATCTCTCACCTACCATGTTGTCCTTTTCTTTGGGTCAAATGGATACAGGTGCCTAGTTCTCAAAGTCAGATACTTCAACCAGGCCTGTTAGGAAGACAGACACCCACTGTCTTCCCCGAATCCCACAGACAATGCTTTTCCTCTTCCTTTCTCCTGCTTCTCTTGCTCTCACTTTTTTTCTCGTGGCCAGGACACTCACAGCGCTCCTTCTTTGTTTTCTCATCATCTTTAGTGAATTAGCTCTTCCTCACTCTCCTTCTTCCCGATGCAGTCATTTTATTATTTTCACTGGACTAACGTTGCTTCTATTACGGTGGCTGTGTGCATGCCATTATTACTGGGCACTTAGTACATGCTAACGCTCCTTTACAGAACATATAAAGGCTTTCCCTGGGTTTAATAAATGCCTCTTTCCTTAAAAATAAAAAAAAGGTATAGGGAGTGCTTCACGGACTAATCAGTTCTTAGATACATGCAACATTTCAGAGAAGCAACTCAAACACCGATTTGATCAAATGTTTAACCATATAATTCATACACTTCTTAATACTTTCTGAATGTCTTAGATTCCCAGAAAACAAGTAAATCCAATGTGTGTCTATAAATAACTTTTAGGAGGCTTAAAAACATAAAGGAAGGTGTACAATAATTAGGCTCATAGAATATGGATTTTTGTATACTATCTCAGAAATGCAATAGAAATATTATAGAACTTTTTCATGGGTTTATAGTATATGCTTCTAACCAAACTATTAATTATTTTAGGACAGATGCCATCCGTTAAGCATCTCCTATCACTCTGAATTGATAATGGACATTTATGTTAACAAATTCATTTCTCTTTAACATAGGAAATAGTAATAAAGTCAGAGTACTTACACTGCCCATAGATTTCATTGACAGCAGCAAAATCGTTTATGTCAGCCAAGAAGATAGTTGTTTTTACAACTAGAAGATAAATACATTGTCATCAGGCTTAGCTATTTGGTCTGATTAAAAATGCAGAAAAATAGCACATGTATGTTTCTCTGTCTTGATTAAAATGGGACTGAAAAAGTGAAATGGGATAGTGTTGTGTCCTCAACCATTCAAATGACTTTTTTTTTTGAGACAGGGTCTTGCATTGTAGCCCAGGCTAGCCTTGAACTTGTGGCAATCTCCCTGCCTCAGCCTCCCAAGTGCTGGGATTACAGGACTGTGTCACCATGCCCAGTTCAAAACAACTTTGAAATGCAACAAAAACATGGCACGACTTATCACTAGAAGCTGGGGCTGTGATCCCAAGCTCTGTGGAAGGCTTAGTAGGAGGACAGTAAACTCAAATGCAGCCTGGGCAATGTAGTAACTCAGCAAGACCCTGCCTGCCTCAAAATAAAAACTGAAAAGAAGAGTAAAGACTATAGCTCAGCATGAAAGCCCTGAGTTTAGTCCCTGGTACAAACAAAAACAACAACAAAACCCTCCCCAAACAAACAAAGAACAAACAAAACAGAAATTAAGAGAGTAGTAAAGTGCTCGCTTCGGCAGCACATATACTAAAATAGGAAAGATACAGCGATTAGCATGGCCCCTGCGCAAGGATGACTTGCAAATTCATGAAACGTTTCTTTTTTTTTTTTCTGAATTCACACACCTATAATATTTAAATGACAATGGAATACCCTTCTCTGACAAAACTAAACAAAAAAAGGGGATACAAATGAACGACCATTTTGTATCTGTATATTCAAAATAGGATAGATATACAGCTGTATTCTCTTAATTCAATGAATAGATTTGTTCTAATAGTGTTTGTGGACAGGATATCATGTCTGCATCTTGCACAATGAATAACCACTAAGACAACAATATGCAATGTATTAATCATTGAAACTGTGCTAGTAATCAGTTTTGAAACTGTCTCATTACTATTTGTTTCTCAATAAAATTATTAAAAAAAAAAGAGAGAGAGAGAGAAGTAAAACCCAATTGCTCACCGTTGCTGAAGTCGCAGTCCGCTGCTTTCAGAATTTCGCCCATGTTGGTGAGAGCCTGGGACGAAGGCACGAAAGGTCTAAGACACTGGTGTCACACTAAATGCAGCCACTCATCTTTCTTTCTTATTTATTATTTTTTTAAATATATCTAGTTATTACAGGGTCTCACTAAACAGCTTCAACTTATGGTGATCCTCCTGTTTTCCGCCTCCCCAGTGCTGGGATTACAGGCGTAAACCACCATGCTGGACTCTGGCTGGCTCAGCCTGCCCTGTAGGTGGGGCTGGCATGGCATGTGGTGCGGGGATCGGTAGGCACTTAGTCTTTGGTCCCTGCGCTTGCCTAAGCAGGCACTGATCCGCTGAGCTGTCTCACCGGCCAAACATTCAAATTATTTTCTTATTGTTGGGTATTAAAAACAGCTCAGTGAATGCATTAAATCACAATTTAATTCTATTATTTGATTAGAATTATATAATACATTCTTTTTAGAAGGAACACAGTATGTATGACCTTTGACATTTTTCTTACTGAGGAACACTGACCTTTTACTTCCACAGTGATGACTTTTTGGGTGTGAGTTGGAGGAGGAAGGTCAACAGCCTTGCAAAGCATATTTCTCAATTCACATCAAAGTGGAAACATGTTATTTGATTTTGGTAATTCAGGTTTAAAGTCCCCTTAGTGGTAGGGAGATGGGAATACTGTTTTTAGTTAAATGATTCATTAAATTTCTGGCTGAAGTTCTTTAATCAAGAACTGCTTTAAATCACTGAGTGGCTTAAAAAGTTTTTGATTTTGTTTTGGAGACAAGATTTCACTTTGTAGTTTAGGCTGGCCTTGAACTTGCAGTGATCTACCTGCCTCAGCCCCCCAAGTGCTGGGATTAAAGGTATGTGCCATCATGTTTGGATTAAAAAGCATTTAATCTCTACCAACAAATTAGGCAGTGGATTCTTAATACTCAACAGTATTAGAAAGAAGTAGAAAGGAAACTTGAAATGTGGAAAATGGCTTACTTGTTTTGTTTCTTCTACTACCCCTCCTGGCACTAGCCGTCCACTCGCAGGGTCTAAGCCGACCTGCCCCGAAATGTAAAGGGTCCTGTCGACTAACACAGCTTGACTGTAACAAACAGAAAGCCAGCGTACATGTAAAATGACTCAATGCTAAGACATACAAGCTATAAAATAAAAAGAGATAAAATGAGACTTCATTAAAATTAAAAAGCTTGTTTATCAACAATTATCTTTAAGAACATAAAAAGAAACGCATGGATGGGGAGAAAAAATATTTGCAAAACATGTATTAATAAAGGACATGTATACAGAATGAATGAAAAATATACATAGCTCAATAAGGAAAAACAATCTTATGAAAAATAGGTGAACGATTTGAACAGATACTTTACAGAAGAGGAGTAAAGACATTGAACACTATCAGCCATTAGAGATTTGCAAACCCAAACCATAAGACGGCACATACACATTAGTGATGTAATCAGCCACTGGCAAAGATGCAGAGCCACTGCAGTCTTCATGTAATGCTGGTAAGAATGCAAGACGGCATGGCTACTTAGAAAATGCTTTGTCAGGGCTTTCAAAATGTAAATTACACTCAATGCACAACTCAGGAGTTTCCTTCCTAGAAAGTTTCTTTCATTCCCAAGAAAAATGCAAACATGTATCCAAAGATATCACATAAGTGCTTCATGATACTAAGAAAAGAAAGATAGTGCCAACTAAAGAATAGTTAAGGTTCAATTTTATTTATACGAAATGGTAGAAATGACAAATTATGGCAGGGGAAAGCTGCCCATCAGTAGTCACTGAAGCTGGGTGGGGAAACGGATACAGGCAGCTCTGAGGAAATGTTCTGGAGGCGTCGGGGATGCCCTGCAAGTTGGCTGGTAGCAGACGTGCAACTGCATTTACTGAAATTCATGGAACTCTATGCCCACAATGGGTGACTTTTTAAAAAAAGAAATGTATTTTTCAATAAAGCTGTGAAACAAAAAGTGCCAGGAGCATTTTCTTTTCTTTTTCTTTTTTTTTGCAAACTGGGGATTGAGCTCAGCATTTTCAAAATAAGTAATTCTTGGACACGATCAGTCACTGCTTGCTGCAGAGTAAATTAGGATGCATGTTTGGTGGTATGCTTCATGACTGCCAAGTGCTTGCTTTCGTGATGAGGGTGATGAATTTCAGGATTAGGATAAAATCGCAGGGAAAACCCCAAACTGTATGAATATCCAAAAACAGTGCTGTCAGGGATGTAGCTTAGTGGCAGCAAGTGCGAGGCTGTGAGTTCGACTCAAAAAACATAATACACAAATAGAAAGAAAGAAAGAAAGAAAGAAAGAAAGAAAGAAAGAAAGAAAGAAAGAGAAAAGCGAAGACAAAAACAATGCCAAACACTTCATTCTTTTCTAGGAAGTGTGTTAATTTCAGAATAAAGCCGCCTGTTTTTTGAAATTAAAGAGAGACATCTTATTATTTACCATTTGTATGCTTAAGATACTCTTTATTTAATAATCTTTTCTTTTCCTCCTTCTTTTTCCTTTCTGTCCACCTCCTCCTATTTCTCCTTCTTTCACTGGAATGAAACCCAGGGCCTTACACTCATGGTGGGCAAGTGTTCTCTCCCTGACCTACAACCTCTGCCCCTAAGTGTCTTCTTTTATATCATGATCTTTTCCTAATCTCAGCCAAATTTTCACATGTTGGGTGCCTAGCCCCTATAGATAAATATCATTCTACTTTTTTAGTTTTTTGAACTACACTCACTATGTAGCTCAGGTTGGCCTTAGACTCATGTAGTCCAGGCTGGCCTGAAATCATGCAATATTCCTTCCTCAGTTTCCCAAGTGCTGGGATTACAGGCACACACTACCATGCAGGACTTTGTTCCTGTTTCCATATTTTCCTACTTCATGTGTATAAAAAAATGTGTAATATATTTCTTCCTCCTTTAACACAAATTATGGTAATTATGGTATACTTTTACACTTGCTTTTTTTCACTCAACAGTGTATCACAAAAATCTACAACTACAAGTAGCATACATATCTCCCTCATTTTAAAAAGAGTGACACAGCATTTCATTATATGAATGTACTTTATTTAACTAGTCACATTTGCCTCCAATATTTTAGTATTGTAAATAAAACTACATTGAAAAGTATCACACATACATTTCCACTAGCAAGTAACTAAATCTCTTCCTTGGGCCCAGGGGTCCTGGGGTTGAGCTTTCTTATGACACACAGGACCCTGATGCATGTTATAACTAGCCCCGTTCTTATCCTAGCTCCTCTGATCCTCAATATACCTGAGACTAAATTTCTTAAGGGCAGAGACTGTCTTATGAGCATCTCAGTAGCTGTGCTCGTAGCAGACATACTCTACTTGTTGATGTAGACTATGTAGTTTTGGCTGTCAATAAATATCTTTTAGGCAGGACTTGCTGGCTTATAACATGGGCTTTGGAGAACTCAAGAATGTAGACTCTGGGCTGGTGAGATGGCTCAGTGGTCTAAAGCACCTACTTAGAACAAGCTTAGCAAAGCACAGAGACGGCAGTTTGATTCCCCAGCACCACATGCCAGCCAGCCCCGCCCCCTGGTGGGCTGAGCTGGCCACACACACACACACACACACACACAAATAAAAAAAAAATTAAAAAAAATAAATACAAATAATGAATTTTTTTTTTTTAAAAGAATGTAGACTCCAATTTAGTAATAGGATTCAGAGCTCAGGATTTGCAACTATCTGGCCTCACCCTGCTCAAATAAATAATTATTGAGAGAGGTTAATTTGTAACTTTCTCTCAGGTCCAACAATAAGATCATCAACACTAAGACCTGTCTGAGTAGTTTCTCCATTATCATTAACTAATTCTATCAACTGTCCTCTCTTCTGATATGTGAAATGGAGTTTGAACTCATGCATTATCATTTATTAAAAACTCTATGATGGTAGCAAAAACCCATTTATTTTTGATAATCAAAAGTAACCATTAGGGGCTGGGGAGATGGCTCAGTGGAATAAGCGCTTCCCTGACAAGTGCAAGGGCCTGAGTTCAATCCCCGGTACCGCAAAAAAACAAACAAACAAACAAACAAACAAACAAAAAAAAAGTAACCATTGGAACTCTGAGACCACCTGAGTTATATGAGCTGCCCCTTAGTCATTTTTTTTTTATTAAAATTTTTTATTTATTTATTTATTTATTTATGTGTGTGTGGCCAGCTCAGCCCACCAGGGGGCGGGGCTGTCTGGCATGTGGTGCTGGGGGATTGAACCGCGGTCCCTGTGTTTTGCTTAGCTTAGCTTGTTCTAAGTAGGTGCTTTAGACCACTGAGCCATCTCACCAGCCCCTTGCCCCTTAGTCATTTAAAAGAGGTCTATTCACAGTCATTGGATACATGACAGTATTTCCCAACATAATAATTCTATTAGGCACAGACAAGTTGTCAGGTTTCAGAAGACATAAAAGTGGGTTGTTCTATTTCTAGGTCAAAGGGAATAGTATTTTAAAAAGCATTCTAATATAATGTCACAGTCAATGCCACCACGTTACTGGTGGGTGTGCTAAAAAGTGGGAACCAATTCAATAGCACTGAACTCTCTCAAGGCCCTGTCCTTGAGTCTCCTGAATGTGCTGGGCGGACTAGCTAATTAGTAACAACTCCACGTCCACCAATGCCAGGGGCTGGCAACATATTTGAACTTACCAAACCTATTTCAATTCCTTCTGGAGAGGACCCAGAATTTTCAAAAAGTACTTTCATGACAAATGCCATACACAAAACCTCTTGTTTCCAAGAAGCTCTTAAAACATATCCAGTTAACTTTCTCAGGTTAAGTTCCAAGGTGTTTTTCTTCAGCAGAAACTACTGAAAACAATGACCCTCTCTAGAACTTGCCTTTGGACACAAAGTTCTGCATAGTTTGCACCATGAAAGGGATCCACAGCTTCCACTATACTGGCTCACAAAAGAGGCTGAGCCCCCCACCTCAAAGTCAACCAGGATATAGTTTTTTCTCTTGAGCAGAGAACATAGAGTATTTCTAAATAGGTCAAGAGAAATCTATGCTCTTTTAGCAGTCACAGGAAATGTCACTGATTTTTTTTTAAATGGGTCACTCTTGTTTTGAACTAAAAAAGAGTGAGGGGAGAGGTAGGTGATGAATAAAAAAATGGCCTAGTGTGGTGACATGCCTGTCATCCCAGCACTTGGGAGGCTGAGGCAGGAGGATCCTTGCAAGTTCAAAGCCAGCCTGGGCTATATGGTGAGACCCTGGCTTGAAAAACAAAAAGAAAAAGAAAAAAGAATTAAGAGGTGTTATGTTTACATACTAACTCTCCACGAGGAATCTAATCATTACGTACTGCAAACACGCCCTACTATTAAGATTAAAATAGAAAAAATGAAGGAAAAAAGTTATTCTAAATGCTATCACTGTGTGATCAAGGAGAGGGATCAGGAGGGAAGGATAAAAAAGACGACTAATTTTTGCTAACATTGTAATAGTCCTAATAGTCCCTATTTTCACTCTACTCTCTGAATTGTTATTCAAGTTATTCTTAAAATCTTTTAACAAGATATGATCATGTTATTTCCTGTTTAGCAATATTTGATAGCTCATTATATATGAAACAGATTATCCTTTTGTGGCACTGGGGATTGAACCCAGGGCCCGTGCATGCTTAGTTAGGTAAGAGCCCTGTCACTGAGCTATATCCGCAGACCAACTTTATGCTCTTCTGTTTAGCACTGGAAACTATCAACAATTAAAAAAAATGTATTTGGTTATTATAGGGTCTCACTGTGCAGCTTGGGCTCATAGTGATCCTCCTGTTTTCAGCCTCCCCAGGGCTAGAATTATAGTCGTGCACCCCTACACCTGGACTCTGTGGCTAGGGCCTGGCACGGCATGTGGTGCCAGGGATTGAACCACAGTCCCTGAGTCTGCCTAATCTTGCCTAAGCAGACTCTTTAGTCCACTGAGCTATCTTGCTGGCCCTACTAACAATTTGAACCTAGCTAAAATCTAATTTTTTATTGCTTACTTTTAAACTTAATCCCCACAATAATCTGATTAAGTAGTGTTGTGATGTCTATTTGGAAGAGGCAAACTAGGGGAGGTGAAGTCACTCTGCAAGGAAATACAATTAAAAAGAAGCAAAGCAAAATTCAAACCCAAAGTT